TCTTACGCTGCAGTCGATCTTTTTTGCATCATCCGACTCATTCACCTCGAAAAAATCTGCAATGGACGTTCGAATTCGCCACTCGTCATACATGTACCTCGCCACCGGTTTGATTTTCGGTGATTTCTCTGCACAAACGAAAGCAACAGCATATGCAAAGCTACCCCCCACACGAGCCATGTGTATGCTACGTCTTGCGTGGTGGCTGATAGAGACCACGGGGCGATAGCAGGCACGGAAGCTGAGGTGGCAAGGGTCGAGGATTATGCTAAAAAAGACCTACAGCGTCAAAATACAGCTTCGTTGCCTCGCGAAGTTTTGTTTGGGCGGTAAGAAGACTTTGCACTCTGATTCTCCCCCGCTCTCGGGAGGCAAGCTGCGATACAATGGCACAATATTCCCATGTTTGACGTCGGCTTTACGGTTCTCTACTCTCGGTGTACCAGCACACCAGTGGGCACCTTCTTCGCTTTATTGTAACTGGGATGAGTGGTCGTGCCCGTGGTTTAATTTGGGATGACCGGTCGTGTCGTGCCCGTGGTGTACTACCGTACAGCAGCGTTGGGCCGTCGAATTGTTTTAGTGTTGGATCACAGCAGTAGGGAGCGTGCATTGATTACTCTCTTTTTAGGCACACATCATCACCATTTGTCGCTGACCCGTGCACCCGTACATGATGCCTGCGACATCGAACGTAGTACATATAGGATTTGGTCACTTTTCATGCCTCGGCATTTCTTTCTCTCGCGGCAACGAGTCTTTTCTCGCGATTCCTTCTCAGGGGCACATAGGAGGCTCGTCGGTACATTAACGCTCGTGCCCGGCAGACCACCGTGGCGCGTGTGGTTGACGCTCAAAGTTTTGAATACTGGCTGAATACATCAACAGGAATAGCTGCCCTTATCCTACCTGGCGGTCTTACGACGCACGATACCTTTAAACTCCCTTTCGGAGACGATGCCATAGAAGGCAGAGTTTGCAACGTCCCAGCTGAGTCCGAACGTGCCGACGACCTGAAAAAATCGTCATTCATTATTTGGGATGAATTGTAATGTCTTCAAAGATTGCCCCAGAAGCACTCAACTCCACTCTTCAGGACCTATGTCAAAATGACTTGCCTTTCGGAGGGAAAAGTATTCTTTTCAGCGGGGATTGGCGTCAAGTTGCTCCCGTTCTACCGTTCGAAACTGAGAGTGAAATCGTAGAATATACTTTCCTGCCGTCAGGCTTTGCTTATGATCACATGTTCATTGCTTCCGCCTTACCAAGTGCATGAGAGACAAAGATGACATCCCTTACCCTAAAAATGTCTTAGCTGTTGGAGACGGTAAAATTGAACCGGTTAGCTGATGGTACCGCCGCTATTCCATTGCAACGCACAGTCAAAAACGACGATAGTTCCAAATCTACATGTCCAATCGCCGGAACAACGGAATTTGAATCCTCATTGAAAAAGTCTATCCCGACCTATTAAAAGCTAACCACAACATCTACAACGACTGTGGCATTCTATCACCCACAAATAATAACATTGACCAGATTGATGACTTCATCCTTCGTAAAATGCCAGGAAATGTTCACGAACAACTTAGTTCAGACAAGATCATCAAGGACGACGAAAACATGCCAGATGCTGTTTCCGTCGCATACCTCAATAGCATCAACGTCCCCGGCACGCCACCGCACAAACTCAACCTCAAAGTTGGAGCATTGATCGTCTTCATCAGGAACAATAATTTTGACTGCGGTCTCGTCAATGGCAAACGGGGAGTTGTTCGAGGGGTTTCATGACGCATTACCGACGTTGAAGTTCTATCCGATGAATCTCCCATCGTTAAAATACTACGCATCTGCTTGGACGTCAAAGTGGGAGCGCACGGTATTTCCTTTCACCGTTACCATTCTCTATCAGATTGTGTTACGCTATGACCATAAACAAGTCTCAAGGACAACTTTAAGAAAAGTCGGCCTCGACCTCAGGGGATCGGTCTTCTGCGACGGTCAGTTGTACGTTGTTGCCGTTTGCCGTACAACCTGCAGGGACAATATCCTATGCCTCTTTGAACATGGATCATCTCGTCAACGACATCCCCCACGTGCACAACGTCGTCTTCTCTGATTGTTGCAGCCACGGTCAACCTCCCCCTACTTTTGACATCCAACTACCTCGTCACCATGGCCAAGGTGAACGATGCAACAATGGCAACAACACATCGCCTAATGATGGCGACTGCGGTGGTGCGGGCAACAACAACGGCAATAACGCCAACAATGGGAACAACAACAACCAAGGGTCTTGGCCAATTGTCAATGGAATCGGTGATGGAGCATGCCTACTATGTAAGATGCATTGCCCATCGAGTTTTCAACAGCCCAACATGCACCAACTGGTCACAACGCAACTCATCGACCTCATCAACGACAATCTCCATAGCCCTTTACCAGGCTCTGGACAAAACACTTTTTACGACTCCATCTCTGCTGGAATCAATTCAGAGAACATTCAAATAGCTGGTCAACCTGAAAAACCCTACCAAAGTGTCCCGGAATACCTCTATCTCATGTCTGTTACAACTGCCTATGCTACCCATGTCGAGATTGCAGCTGCCCATCAACAGTTGTATAACATTATCACAAGAGTAACCCTCGTCGGCCAACTATTTCCACCTCCTCAGTCCCATGACACATGCGATGTTTTATACGAGGGCGAGCACTACCGAACAGATATAGACCATGACATACAGCCCTTTGAGCAATGCGCATGTGGTCTTGCGTCACCCCCGGAAAACCTGACACCCACGTCCCGAAGGGGAACCTTTTTAGATGAATAAAATGACATATGTCACCTGCCTCACGGAGGCTGCTTATTCCGCCGCGTTTCGGCGGTTTATATTTATTCTTGGTTTACGTGCGCGTGCACAAGCTTTGCGTGCACATAATGTTTGTCGGCTCCTTGGACTGACGAAATATGTACCACCTCAAAAAAAGAACTGGTGAAGGACCTGCACGGCTTCCCGATGCAAGCTGCGATACCATCTGTGGGATGTAGAAGGGTCATCGGGCTGAACAAAGGTTTCGGACATCCCCACAACCAAAACTTACTAAACGACGGACAGGACGGGGCTGTCCGAAAGCGTTGTCCTTTCTTATATGAATCAAGCTTGCCAGTTTTAGACGTGGTTCTTTCGTCAGTTGTCCTTTTTTTCATTAACGACAGCGAAATATTTAACCGGGTCCCTTTTAGGATACTTGTTTTGATGACCCACTTCTTACGCTGTAGTCGATCTTTTTTTGAGTCATCGACAAAAGATAGCTTAGTAACGGCCGTTCGTATCTTCCACCTCGTCATGCACCTCACAAAGGAACGTCGTCCTGCCTTTCGTTAACTGGAGAGCTGCATCTAGGCACAAAATAAGATTTCCACACTGCAGCGCGCGCAAGATCGCTTTGTGTTGGTGTTATCGTGAATGATCGCCTTCTTCAGTACTGGGTGCAAAATTCAAGGGGGAAATACATTTCACTGTCACTGGGATTGACCTGCCGACCTCACCTTGAAGGCCTCAACGCCTAGGTTGTAGCCAGCTGAAGTTCGGGTGGACCGCCATGTGTGTGATGCAGAAGGAGATGCTGAGGTAGGGAGGTTGAACAGTGTACACGACGGGCGGTTGCACTCTGATGATGACCGCCCTGTCTCCCTCATGCTTTAATTTCGAGATGGAGAATTGACAAAATGCGCGTCTGTCAAATCGGCCTTGCAGGTGAAAAACCGTACGCGTGTGTACATCCGCTTTGCGGAAGGAAGTTCGCGCGGATAAGCGATCTGCGGTCCCATGAGCGCACTCACAGCGCCGACGCCAAATCTTTCGAGTGCAAACTATGCGGGAAACGCTTCACTCGCCCGTACGATCTCAAGAAACACGTCATGAACATTCACCAGCAGCCATCATCGTCGTCGAAAAAGAGAAAGAATCCACCATCGACGAGGAGTGATGCAGATGCCTCGGCCTCTGGCGGCGTGACTAACCGCACGATGAGCAGCGGTGGAACAAAGCGACGGCGGGCCATAGTGGTAGCCCCAACGGGGGCAACCGTGGAGATCAAGGCCTCTAATCCGCTTGTCCAAATGGAAAAGCAGCTGAATCCTATCGCCGTGGAGTCAAGCCGGCCGCTGCAATGCACGGCCGCCGAAGCCTTCGACAACCCGCTGTTCAACGGGTTGGCTTTTGCTGTCCAGCAACAGCTTCAAAAGCAACCGCAATGGCAAGAGTACCAAAAGTGGCAGCAGCAGCAGCAGCAGCAGCCACAGCAACAACAACAGCAGCAGCAACAGCAGGAGCAGCCGCAGCCGCAGCCGCAGCAGCAGCCGCAGCCGCAGCAGGAGCAGCCGCAGCAGCAGCAGCCGCAGCCGCAGCAGGAGCAGCCGCAGCAGCAGCAGCAGCAGCAGCCGCAGCAGCAGCCGCAGCAGCTGCAACAGCAGCAGCAGCAACAACAACAGGAGCAGTCCCACCAGCAGCAAAAGCAGCCCCACCCGCAGCAACCGCAACCCCAGCCGCAGCAGCAGTCCCAGCAGCAGCAGAAGAAGCCCCAGCAGCAGCAACCGCAGCAGCAGCAGCAGCAGCAACAGCAGCAGCAGCAACCGCAGAAACAGCACCAGGAGCAACCGCACCCGCAGCAGCAGTTGCCGCCACCGCCACCGCAGCAGCAGCAGCAGCAGCAGCAGCAGCAGCAGCAGCAGCAGCAGCAGCAGCAGCAGCAGCAGCAGCAGCAACCGCCGCCGCCGCCGCAGCCGCCGCAGAAGCTGACGAACACCGAAATCCAAGGCCTTGTTGGCAACTCTTCGTTACCTCCGCTGCCGCCGCTGCCGCAATCAGCTTCGGTGCCGCTGGGTTCTCTACTCGCAAAGCCCGTAGCAGTACCGCACCGGCGCTACCGCCGCAAACGCGTGCGGTGTGATGCTCACAAGCACTGCAGCCCCATCGCCGCCTCAACCGAAGGATTAGATGTCCACGGCAGCGCCAGCGTCATCAACGGGCCTGGAGGGTCTGCTGCCGACGGTTCAATCAAGCAGCATAGCGCTGAGCGGCCGCATGGGCAGGCGAGAAAGGATGGCCTGGTCGGGGCCAAGGTACACGTTCACGGTGCGGCCTGCGGGCACCGCGCAGTGCGTCACGAGAACCATGTCGATTTCTTGGGGGAAGGCGGGCAACTAGAGTGTTACGCTGGGAAAGAGGTGCGACGCTATCCCGTTCCAAGATACTTTACACGCTGCGGCGTGTATTCGCGAATATTCGTGTTCTCGTAGACCTGGAAGACAAGGTTGCCTTGGGAGCATCGTGAACCATCTTGTTTCATGAGGACGCCAAACGCCCAGCTGCAGAAAACACGATAGAACCCACTGAGCCGGAGCGTGGTTTGTGTGGCGTTTGGCCTGTTGAGTAATCGCGCGCACTGTGAAAAGGGCGCCGTGAAACTGCTGTAGTGTGTTTGTACCGGGTGAGAGATGTTCGCAGCCATGTCCCGGTTGGTAGTGCGCGCCCCGCCACGATGCCCTTTTGCTTGTCCCGTGCGCGCTTTTGGCTCTGTTCACATCACATGGCACGACCCCCCCTCCACCCTTGTCGTCTTTGGACAGAGAACTGGCGGAGACTGGGTGAGCATTGTCAAGGAGGGTGGCGGAGGGGGTGCCTCTAGCTGTGGATGCGATGATTCTTCGAAGAAGGAAACGAATGGTCCCGGCAAGCCGACGAACGCTCTCGTTCATTGGGACGGCGCGCGACTTGACCAAACACGAGGTCGTTGTGAGGGCAACAACCACGGGCCGCATTGCGGTCATGAGGTGTGTGCAGCGGCAGCAGTAGCAACACCAGCAGCCCCACCACTATCGCACCGTCTTTTTTCATTCCGTCTGTTGCCTTCTTCGAGCGAGCTTTTTCACTACTCATAGTTATTCACTTGTGTCGTGTTTGTTCGTACAAAACAAAGTTGACAAGTTACCCTAGCCCATGAGAAGACTTGAGGGAAACGGTTTGAAGTGTCTGCCCTTGTCTCCTTCTGCGCAGGTCGTACACCACGATGGTCACTTGGACTACGTTGTGAACGGGCGGCTCCTTCATCCCGTTGCAGCCCCCGCTCTCGCTAATGATGGCGACAGCAATGGGATCGACGACTCTAGCGGCGGGAAGGGTCGTGAGGCTGCCCTAGTGTTCGAAGACCACGGCTCCATAGAAGCTCTCAATGACGATTTCCTGACGTTTTGGTCAGGCTTAGACGCCTTGAACGAGACAGCCGACGACGCGGTGACCGCCTGGTGCGATATGTGCTGGTTGGACGAACAGAGCCCCTCGACTGCTGCCGGTCCAGCTGGTGGGAGCCCCCCGACTGCTTCAGGAGAAGCTGATGGCAAACCCCCGTCGGCTTCAGGAGCAGCTGATGGCAAACCCCCGTCGGCTTCAGGAGCAGCTGATGGCAAACCCCCGTCGGCTTCAGGAGCAGCTGATGGCAAACCCCCGTCTGCTTCAGGAGCAGCTGATGACCAACCCCCGTCTGCTTCAGGAGCAGCAGATGGCAAACCCCCGTCTGCTGCCGGAGCTGCTTCTCCATGAACCGAATCTTTGATAATCTGTACCGTGGTACTCTTTTTCAGTGCTCCAACCATCTAGGCTGCTGTAACGTAGAGTCTTCTCGTTGCCGCAGCGCCCTATCACGAAAGGCAAGGCTCACCAGGAGCTGGATGTTCTGTTGCATTGACCGGATTCGGGAGTTGCTTTCGTGGCGAGAACCAGGTTTACGGTCAACGATCTACTTGTGCCGTAACCCTGAGTTTGGTTTTCGTGGCCGTGGGACAAAGGTGTAATGTGTTAGCTCTCGTTCGGTGGATTTTTCAGAGTGCAACAGGCCGCCTTCCCGAGCAGAATGGGCCGGAGACAAAAGAACAGAAAAATAGCGAAGGTTGCTGATGTTGTGTTGTTTTGGTAAGACTTCGGTGGTGGCCGACTAGCGTTTATTTTCGTTCTAGGGCACGCGTGACCCAAGATTTTGAAAATATGAGGGATGGGATTTGCATACACGGTCAGTCACAACTGGTACGGAGTATTGATGTAAGCAGCGGTGCCCTGGTCCAGCACGGCATGCATTTTTGGAACATGTTGTGCCTAGCCGCTGGGTCACCGCTAGTGGGGTTGTTGCGGGAATAACTTTCGGTGGTGTCCGACGGTGCGCAAATCAGAATATTCCTGGCGTGCTATATTTTCCTTTCCAGAGGGCGGGCACTCGGCCCAACATTTTGAAACATCAGCACCAGGAATGGATGCGATTTGCATACAATTAGTCGCAAGTGGTGGGGAATGTTGATGCAGGCAGGGGTTCCCTCGCCCAGCACGGTATACATTTTTCAAACATGTGGTTGCCCAGTTAGCCTCATGGCGGTCACCGCTATATGCTCGATACTGGTCGCGCCAAGGGGACATTTCAGCTACAAGAAGCCAGTGGAGGGATTCGGTGCAGTGCACACAGATCAATGAATCATCCGTGCGTCGCAGGACGATACCATATTGCAAGCCTAGTTGCCGTGGTGAGGAGAACAGGGAGCTGCTCTTACACGCTTGCATGTTCAAAACGAAAGTGTTGGCATACGAAAAAGCGCAACAGGTGCCATTTCGCGGTCGGTCAGGAGTTTCAACACCGATCGGTGTCGAGGGAAAGTTAGGTTTACTTATTCAGGATTAACTCGTGGTTTGCAATCGACCCACCCGTTTCGAAGAGCAACTGCGCGCACATGCACGAGACCATGCATTGTTCAGAACCAAGGCGTGTGCACCCTCCCTCTAAGTTCGTTCTTGCGGCTCGAGAGTCGTTGTACGACAAGGGATCCACCCCTCGTTCCAGCTACTCGCCAGCTAGCTTGAGCCAAGCTTAACACTAGCCGTTCTTTCTACCATCTGCTGTACACAATGCCGCACTCCTCCCGCCCAGAGACAACTTTCCCTGGTACTTAAAACATCTATGAAGGGAGCTACTCGCAGTGTCACTCGCTTAGCGCGTCCTCGCTTCTTCCGGCCTACACCGCACTGCTCAAGTCGAGAGCGAGTTGCGTATACTTCCACATCACACCACCACTCTTAGCTCATGCGTCGTCGGTCGCAGTCGGCGCCAGAGCCACGATGGTGAACCTGCACGTGTGTGAGAGGAGCAGGCAGCAACGCCCGTGAGAGAGGAACATCATCATGCGTTGCGTTGTTCCTGTGGAGCAGCGGCTGACGGACTCTGTGCAGTCAGTGGGGAAGCGACCAGATGTTGTTAGGCGGAACACTTGATCCTGTGGAGAGGGTAGGGAGTGGGTGGTGAACGGTGAGACGCTTCCTGCCTCTGCACGACCTTCGAGCAGAACCTCAAACACCATGTTATTCTACGCCACCAGTCAAACGACAACCCAAAAAACATGTCAGATACATCGTTCGCCAGAACGCGGCTCCAGCTACACGAAGGTGACCGGTCCAAACCTCCCCATGATGCCGTGCCGTGTGCGTGTAGAAGGCACAGACCCATGGCTCGACCACGGGGGTGGGCCAAAGACATGGTATGTTGCATTGTTGTGTGCCACAACCTCTCAAACCACCCTCGTCGAGGAGCTTGCCTTAGCTCGCCCGGGTCCCTATCCATAAACTGCTTCACCACCGCGCACGCGTCTTGCAACAGCGTGGCTGGAGACGTGGATCCGTGCGGGACTGGGCCTTCCTTGCGCCCGTCAAGCTCGTAAAGGGTACCGTCCATTTCACTGGAAAATCGCGGCAAACATTGGCGGCGGGCTTCTTGATTAAAACGTTTGGAAAGGTCGGGGGCGGGGGCTGGGGATGACGCCACGCTAGCCTTCCTGGCGTTTTCTGCGCGCTGTGGTGGAGCGTTGCAAATCTAGTCGGTGGTTTTCTTGTCTTGGCACGCATGTCTGCTAAAACCATCCTACCGGTTTACGATTATCACTACATATTTTCGAACTTCAATGCGTGATACTTCTCCCCACAACATCCCAAGTCTACGAAACTCCGGCGAAATAGCGGCCAGCAAAGAACCTGTGTGATACGCACTACTTCCAACACAACAGGGTCAGCCTCTCTGAGCCTATTTCTTCTCGGACGTGGAGTTCTATATGCACAACGACGCCAATCGACACGAAATGGTCGATTGCTTGGCCGTAGGGGCACACACTCCACCACGCATTTTCACGACGAACAAGAAGGACACGAGCGCACCTCTCGAGAGAGACCAGCCCCTCTGCCCATGCCAGTGCCCACGGAACACATATTTAGCTGACTCACGTGAGGCACACGAAATGTGTGTTGATTTTCTCCTCGCGGGCGATCTGATCACTCTGTCCTTCTTGAGCGGCTTCTTCATGAACCTCCTCCAGTTCATCCTCCTTTCGAGGACGCAAAGATATATATTCCCCGCATGAGATGTCGGGGGCGAGGAAAAACAAAAAATGTAGGGGGAGCCGATGGACAACATACTCCACAAGTTATACATGTTAGGGGGCCGGGAGTTGCACAGATCTCCTGTTCAGCGACCCAGGAAATGCCTGTTTAACTTGGTTTCCCATAGTCTAACGTCAGAATGAATCTACGATCGCGAAAAAGCGTTCCTGGAAATCCGCGAGTGTACCATGATAAAAGCTAGAATATTGTAGCCCTCGCAATACTTTACAGATTTGGTCCACGAATTTCGCTTTTCGAAATTCGAAACGAGCCGTTTTTCATCGCGTTCGGTGAACTACAAGCAGTTGTTCGGATTCTGCCGTGATGCCCCGATTTTCGGTCGCTGCAACCACACAACAGTGAACGCAAATCAGAGCCTATGTGAGTGCATGTGACCGTCGACTTCAGCGGAGCTCTTCCCTCACATACCACTCGGAGCCGTATTCGACTTGAAGGCCTGGGGTCATGTGTGTGTTGGTCTAGCCATAAGCAAAGGTGCTTGGAGCGTTTGCAAATCGGATCTCCACAGCAGTAGCCTGCTTGTAGCTCACCAAACTCGAGAAAGAAGGCCGCTCGTTCAGAAAAAGGAGGACCACACATCTGTAGTTTATGACAAGGGCTACTAACATTGTACACTTGCGGATTTCCGCGGAAGTTTTTCGCGAAATAGACTCTTGCTGATTTTACACTTTGGACAAAAACAACTTCTAGGCAGGGGTTTCCTGGGTGGCTGAAGAGGAGATTTGCACAACATTCATTATCACAGGGAGGCGAAAAATATCAAACGACCGTGTAACAAAACGATCGAGAACATATAACAAGTGACACCTCACGAGAGATGGGAAACCTATTCGCACGCTTTGGCAAGAGGAAAGTATAGTCGACTCTCGTGCGGCTAAGGCAACAGACGTTCATCCCGTCAGTCCCGACTCGACGTCCAAGGTAGTACCAGAAAGCACTCACAAACAAGGGCGGACGATACCAACCAGTGACAACACAAGACAAGATCAACGCACGGGCGCGTACACGCAGCATGACGCATCTCGACTCCGGCGGATGGGAGCAAGAACAGAGTCGACCCACTACGAAAAAAGCTCGAAGAAGAAGGCTAAAGCGTGAGAGTTCAATCGACGAAACGAGATGCTTTGGTCAAAAACGTGTTCATTTCGAGAATGTATTGACATTCCAAGGAAATACTGGGCGGACTGTTCAGGTCGCAAGATAACCCTTCCAACCTACAACTCGACAAGATCGTATTGAACTTTGGGGACATTCCGGCTGTCGCGTCCGACGTCTATTCTTGCACTCACGTCATGCAGAGCCTGTGCGATTTGCGCCGGCGTAAGCTGTCTAGTCTTCTCCCAAAACCGGTGCAAGAAACACTCCTTGTCTGCCAGGGCGTCACGAGAACATACATTTAATTCAAAGGAGAGAGGGAGCACGGAGAGCGGAGCACGGAGATAGAGAGAGCGAAAGCGAAAGAGAGAGACAGACAGACACGTGCTGGTGGTATCAGCACTTTCATCTTGCGGCAACAGTTGAGAGAGAACATGTTCTGCGCGAAATTCCATTCGTTGTAAATTTCTAACCGAAGGCGGTGTAAATGTACTTCCGAGGAAAGCTTTTCTTGTATATTGTTAAAATCGATTCTCCTCATCAGGGTACTGTACCTGCTGGCAAACAATCAACAACGCTGTGGGTAGCCACGACGATGCGGTCCACGATCTCACCATACTGGTCTGTCCTGGGCAATACATGCACCATAACTTGAAAATGTGACTTGGGCTTACCAAGCGTGATTCCCTTGGAAATGGAGGCGTTCAGCGCGCAGTGCAGTAACCCGACAGTCCCGCAGGCATTGCCAACCGTTTGCTTCCTGGAACGAAGAACATGCAGATACCATCCAAGCGGGGAGGAGGCCAGCGATGTGGGGACAACTCATAACAGACCAGGACAAGAAACACGAATTAACGAAAATGACAGGCCAAAAAGTTCAGAGGCCATCAATGCGCTTGAGAGACAGCTGAGAGCTAGCCGCAAGGCTTAGCATAACGCGGCGCGGCTAACACGCATTCGACAAGCGGCGACAATGTGTCAGCGCGGAGCATCCGCCGAAAAGCACTATGTAGCGCGTTATATCGCCCTCAGTGTCTGCCCCCGACTAGCCTTGACGGCACACCGTGCACAGCAGCAGTACCAGAACCCGTCTACTAGCTCCAATTCTCCGCATGTACGAACGACCGAGCGAGTGTGTGCAACAAAAATAAACACACACGGCCGTGTCGCGATCCATGGGAAATTACGGAGAGTGAGTGCAATTACGGTGTGCTGATGGCGACGAGTACGAGAAAACACGCAAGACAGCAGCGGGGCAACAAAGCCAAACACCAATCTAGGCAGGATAAAGTTCGGCCTATGCGCACGAATGCAACGCGAGAGCGAGGGGGCGCGATGCAGGAACTCTCTTTTCTGCTCGTAGATGTCTTCGTCGCCATCCAGCTCACAAACTGTCGCTCGTATGCACATCATTAAATACCCTACGCTCTTCTTTTACTGAAAAGCTCGGATCCGGGGTCATACAGAACAATTTCTCTGCGGTGCATGTCTTAGACTTTAAGGTGACGTATCAACTGTCCTTCCCCAAGCAAATTCGCGAACAAGCCCTTTCCACCAACGCAAAACATCGCCAGGGTTTGAGCTCCCAAAATATAGCGTCTAGAGAGTGTTCGAGGTTACTCCCTAGACCACCCGGGGCGACCGGCGGATGCACCACAAAACAAAACAATCGTGCATTTCAGCATGCTTCTTGGTTGATGAGGAAGGCAGCACGATCTCTCACATGAAGTACAGCTTGGGGTTGAGCGACTCTGTTGATTCCCGGACCCGCGCCGCCTCCTCCTCACGGTGCTTCTCGGTAGACTCTTTGATCGGAAACAGCATCACCACGCCCAGGACCGGCTGCGGCACCATCGCAAGCGCCCAGTCCTCCGTGCTATACACATCTGTAAAACTGCGAACGTGTTGTCCAAAAGTGGTGTGGGGGCAAGTCTGAGAACTGGATTTTGGAATCTACTTCAAAGGTAGGGGACAGACCGAAGCCGGTGTCGCATGCTACGGGGGGGAGGGGGAACAGCAGCTGATGCAAACGCCTGTATGGAAACCATTTTACAGGCCGGATCCGAAATCGGCCCGGATGCCGAAAATTGCTGCGGACGGTTACCTCGGCACTTGTCAACATGGGCTGCGCTGCAGATGAGATAAGTTTGTCTGCACTACGCCACGTCAGAGTTTCGCTCTAGGCTGCTACTACCCGGAACTCCTATTGCTTGCGTGCCGAATAAAATGAGGTGTCGGGGATTCTGAACGCCCGAGGGAATATCGTTGACAGTCTAGGAGCAACATATTGTAACGAGGCAGTAAATGGTTGTCATGAGCCGCGGAGCGTGAAGCGCGACCTCTTTTCCCGTCATCCCAGGAGGGAAAAAAAAGCTCAAAATATCAAAATATGGACCTGTTGCAACACGATGCAGGGGCCCCAAGCTTGATTACTGGGGCCCCTAAGGAACCCTCCTTTTCGACTCAACCAAGACCTATAGGTCACACAATAACGACCTGTTAACTTCTGAGGAAGAAGAAAAATAGGGCGCTCTTCGTCACACCGCTTTGATTGTGCTCCGACAACTGGAAGTGCTACACAGGCATTTGTGCCCAAAACTGGTAGGAGACACCTCGGCCCACCCCCGGGAGTTGTCAAGGTAATGGAGGAACACAAAATCGGAGATGGCACGCACACCACGCGGTTCAATCTCGCAGGAGACACGGAGGCAATCTTCACACACAGGCAGGGCCAGCTATCAAAAACAGTAGGTGCCGAGCCTATACGACCTGCGCGCGGTGGATAAGGCCATCCGTGCGCCATGTGTAGCCTGGGGTGTTGTTTAAGGCTACGCATCCGTCCCAACTGACTGCAAAAAAATATCAACATGAGTAGCATCACACACTCAAGTTACAAACACCAAGCACACGATCTGACGATCGCTCGCGTCCTTGGACACGGATCGAGAGAAACCTTCGAGGAGCCATTATTGTCGCTGCTGACTCTCTCGCGTGATGGCAATGGATTTTTCTGTTGCTGGCCGGTAAACTAATGGTGCATGTAGACTGCTTGCTGCACTCCGTGAGAAATTTGCAAGGTTGAGACGATTGAGTGTGGCGGGTAAGTGGTGAGCCTACCGCATCTATCTGTCACGATGTCACGATCCTATCTCCACTGCTCCACGCTGCTGCTGATTCCCTGCGGTGGGTACGTGGGTACGTGCAGAATTTCGTACCTCTCTCCGGCGTATTGGCGTCCGCATCTCCGCATGCTATTTGCATGGCGGTAAGACTTGTCTATAGGTTCTTCGTCAGTGCTTGGCGTCAACGGAAAACAGAACAACCGGCCGCCTCCTCGCGCACAAGCACCTCCTCACCGTGCCCGTTGCACGCGTGTGCCTGGTGCACCTAGCTACAATTCGCAACAAGCATCGCTGCTGCAACGTAATGGCGCCGTATTAGGGTACGTACTTCCAGCTGGTGTTCGTCCCATCTATTCTGGCGCCAATCTATATAGACGTATCAGTCGGACTCGTACAGGAGGGAGGTGGTACAGGAGTTTTTCCATGTCGTTGTTCTAATACTATGTACATTAAACAAAGCCTTCGTTGGCTCCGGCGGCCAGCGCAAGCCAGCGCTGAAATTTCATAGAGCCAGCGTGGAATCTTGAGGGAGGGGGAGAGTTACGTCACGTGGTTCATGCTGCTGTAGTTGATTGCTCGACAGAACACATCGGAAATGATGGTTGCTCTGAACAATTCCGACACCGACTGACCTGTACGCTCCCGCTGGCCACCCCATCTTGGCGATGTACTTGTTCATCACATCAGGGTTGGACTCTGACAATCCGAGCGGAGGGATCAACGACGTGAATGTCACCTACAAGAGCAGTACCTCATGGGAAGGATAGCTATGTACAGAAGTTCACTTTGTCCGAATAGAATAAAGCACGATACACACATGAACACACACTGCTATGTAAAGGTCCCAATATGCAGGACTGACAAAGCAGTTGGAACCAAGTCGCTTGAACACTCCACAGCACGGAATCAAGTTTCGCTTGGACGCTGCACAGCACTGGCCTGTTTGGCCATTCGAATCATCTAACCAGACTAGGTAGACTACAGCGGCAGGCGGAGCAACTCGTTGTTCCAATGCAAAACAATGGGTTTTAACCCAAGTGCAGGCACTACTCTATACATCATCCTACGCTCTCATGCAGCATGTACAGCTTACAGCCACGATGTCAGTACCCACACGCGGATACGTACAGCAGTAGCTAACGTACCGAGCATCGCGTGTGCCTCGAAAAAGCGGCGCAAGCGCATGTACATGCGGCGAGTGATGAAGGTCTCATTACTCTAGATTACTCTCACCAAGCGGAAACCATCTCTTCCTTCCTTTGTCAGATTTGAAGGGGGAGGGTGCGGACAAAGCTTCAGCCTCGGCCATATTTCCAATTAACAAGCTGCTGATGCGCTAAGAGACAGAGAGACGGGGGCAGCAGGCAGAGAGTTCAATAGAACGCGGATCATCCCTGAAATCTGCAATCTGTCCAAGGGGGTTCCGCACGACGTCGAAAATCTCAACAGCAGGGACCCCTGCTGTCATACATTTGGATACATACACGCAGCACGTCCACATCCAACACATTAAATGTACTGCTGCATCATACATACATACAGCAGTAGTTAGGCATGTGTCTATTTGACGTCACAGACCCCCGAACTGCTGGCCTAGAGCAGTGTAGTAGCACTATCTGCGCTGGACAACCCCCAGCAATTCGTTCGGGGGATTGGGTCTGTCTGCTGTGACGGCGCGTACCAGGACGTGTGTCTTAAAAAACGTCTAAGTCCGTTTCCACAGGAGAGGCATGTCTAACCCCCAATATGGCGACTAGGCACGTCTTACAGTCGTCTAACGCAGTGGGGGATGCGACTGAGTGACTGTTAAGGAGCTGTCACGACGACTTAACAGGACGTGAAACGCAGCAAAGAGCAGCTCTCTCTCTTCTGCCTTCCGTCCTCCATCTATCTGTTCTCTCTCCAATCCTCTCTCCCCGCCGTTCTCCGTAGAACTACCTCCTCCAAATACCTCCTCCAAAATGGAAGGAAGGATGTTTATGTTTGCATGTTTGCACTCAAATTTTGAAAAATTGGCCGCCGAAAAACTCCCGCGCTGCGGCCGGCACACCTCACACACTCCGCAACTACTTCACGGCTCCCGAGTCCCTAGTCCTGTAATGACTTCGACCCCACCAGCATCGACTACAACGCCGATGGCGGTGGTGTCGCCTATTACCACGACACACAACGCGTCCGTAGGAACGGCCCCCACCCCCGTGTCCTTGGTCGGGACGGTCCCGACCAAGGACACGGACGGGATGGTAGTTGGACCAAACATCGCGCTCTTACTATTGGGTGTGGTGTTCTCTTGGAGCTCGTTTTCGTGTTTATGCAGCAATTAATTGGAGGTTTGCAGCGAAGGGTCTCCACCAGATTATTGTACCAGATTGATGTGTTTCCTGCTTGCGTTGCAAATGGCGTGCGTGCGCCTTGCTGACACTCCCGGGTACTCAGGTTACTGTAGATATCTTGCAACGGTTGTGAACCAACGAATTCACGTTTTACCACTGTTGACTGACAAGATGGAAATGAGCAAATACAAACAAACGTAAAAAACTGGATCGTTTTTGTTGAGTGCCAAAGGTAGAGAGTCTCGAGGAGTCTCACGTGCTTAAAATTACTCGATTACCCTCTAATGGTATACCAACCAAGCCCATACATACATGCAATGTACATAGAGGGCGCTACTGCATGTATTACATGCAGTAGCGCGCTCTATGTACATTGAATCATTGAATGGGGCACAAAACCATTTTGGTCGGCATCGAGCACAACAACACCGCTGTGTGGGACCTTGTGGCCTTGTTCTGTCGAAATGAGATGTGTTTAAGACACGCTAAGACGTTTTTTAGACGCGCTAAGACGTATATTAGACGCGCTTAGACGAACACAAGACGTGCCAAGACGAATACAAGACGTGCTAAG